ATTTATGAAGAATTCAATAATTATTGGCGTAGCTTTGATAAAAATTAAACGATCTATTAATTACAATACAACTATTACTAAATAATATTTAACGAAAAACTTTTTTAAAAAATTAACGAAATATCGAAACGATTTATTGTAAATGTTTAATTAAACTAAACAAACAAACATTAATTATAATTTTAATTAATAATTCTAGTAATTATTTATGTATGTATGCAATAAATTTTGTTTGTTAAATAAAAATATATTTTTAACAAAAAATCTGAATAAAAATTGTTTTGTTTTTATTTTCGTTCGTCTTGTTGTTCATAGTTGAAATAAAAAATAAAATCAAAAAAAAATAAAATAAAAAGTAGAATAAAAAATAATAATGAAAATAAATAAAATTAGTGATGTAGCACAATTAAAAATAATATATTTAATTATATATATTTTATAACCTCGAATGATTTGCATGATTTGTTACTTTTGTCTATATAATACCCGTATATTTAAAAACATTTTAGAAAATACATCAATATACATATAATATTATTACTAAAATGAAATATATGTTCGTGTATATAAAATTACTTTAGAATATATGTAGTATATATTATGATAATATGTTTAAGCATACCACTAGCACTAATAATCCTCATTAATAATGTTAATGCAATAGATTTATTATTAGCACACCACTAGTACTAATTAAATTAATTTTGTAATATTATAATATAATAATATTAATTATAATTATAAATAATAATTATATTAATATATATTATTATATATAATACAAAATAATATATATAATAATAATATTATAATAATATTCGCATTATTAAATATATCAAAATCACTTTTATTTATATTTATTACTATGAATTTCTGAGAACAGATATTACAGATATACGAGCATTACAGATATTACATATAACAGATATAATAATAATATAATAATATTCGCGTTATTAAATATCACTTTTAAAATCACTTTTGTTCATGTTTATCACTAAAAATATCTGAGAACAGAGCACAATTTCATTAAGTTGTTTTTGAAATGCCTTTCCTGGTTTATTTTGCACAGAGTTTTATACTCAAAGATATATGTAATACTAACGCAATTCCAATCTCCCAGGTACGCCATATGACAGATGGCACGACTACTTGTTGCTTCATGTAAAATTTTAGTGATAAATTTCAATTAAAATTTTTCATATTAGATTTGCATGTAAAACTTCCATGTCAAATTTCACATAATTATTTTTAAACTTAAAAACCAATATCTCAAAAACTAAGCTATATTGACATATATGTAGTAGAAAAAGTTGTTCACAATAGCTGAATTTATTAAAATCTATTGTAAAATGAGCGTGACCGGAATATACTTTAAGTGCTTTAAATATTAAAATGCTATATACATATGCGTGAGTGACTCTTAAATCAGATGAATATGTAATTTCACATTTATGCACTGAAATAAATAAAATCGCGCCTAAATATATTATAAAGCTAAATTAATAATAAGTAGTATAATTAACACATTTTTGAAATAAATACACAGAAAAATATAATAACCTACAGACCTAATACTATGATATGAAGAGCTCATTGCAGCTAAATCACTTACTAACAGCATATAGGAAAAAAAAATTATTTCTCATATATGTATATTATAAAAAGTAAGTGCTTATAAAAGTTTTATAGTGCAGGGTTAGTTATTTTGTAGTTACAAAAGTTAACGTTAAGAGTTTTAATCCAATTTTCAATTTGATTATATTTTATTTCAATATACTTTTTTTAATATATTTATTTTAATATACTTATTTTAATTAAATATATTTAAATAAATTCATTTTAATATATTGTTAGATCTGAAATACAATATAATGCATATATTCTCCGCTGGGTATGTTACACTACTAGATTAGGTAATTTTCCAAGACGTTGCAAAAGCTTAGCCGTTACTTGATGAATGTTGTTACTCAAAGTGTTCGCTCCGGAAGTTTGAGAATTGTTCGGGTTAACACGATGCTTAACATAACTCTTAAGAAAAGTCCAATGGTGGTAAATTACTTGATCATAAAGTCCAATTCACATCACTAAAACATTTCGAAATTATATTTCCGAAAATTTCTCACAGTGTTTTGTGGCTTGTGACACCATTCTGTTGAAATCACATATCTTCCAGATTTAAATGTTCGAATATTGAAAATCATATGATTGTAATGATCATAATGACCAGATCATTATGGTTTGTGTCACAAGTTTATCATCCTTCAAAATGTAAGTATAGGCTATCCCTCTCCAAAAATAATTGCCAATCCATTCTATAAAGGTAATATAGTGTAATAATTTTTTTATAGTTATTTGCAATTTTTTCATTTGTTGCTATATCCATCAAATGCAAAATGAGCCTCATCACTCATCAAAACTGGATTGCAAAAAATCGACACTTTTGTATTTAGTGAGTTATCACAGTTTAAATTAGCGGTTGTTAAACGATACACATTGTTTAATGGCAAAGCTTTTACTAAATGCGTGATATCTTAGATGCTAGCTCTGTTTGACATAAGTCACTAAAATAAAGCTGCCAAATCAGAACCCTTTTTTAAAAGCTAAGATACGTATCCTTACAAACAGTTCTATTCTAAGCAGAAAGTCGAACTGGAGGGAACGCCGATTGAACGAAAAATTTAAGTTTAGATTTATATATTTTGATCAAAATTGCTATTAATATATCTAGATTGAAGAGCACTAACGTTTTTTCATTTAAAATTATTGTCTATTCATAAATGCAGCAATAATAACTAATATTTTTGAATTAACGATGAATTAATTATATGATGTGCATATCACAAAATACAGTTGCTAACCAGTCGTTTTACTTGCTTCCCGCTGGTGGTAGTTATTAGCAAGTTAATGATACCTCTTTAAATTGTAATTATTACCAATAATCAGCAAGCAATGTATTATTATGCTTAAATACTGTATAAAAATGAACAGCTTAAGTAATATCAAAACCACTAGATGCAACCATTTTAATATATAATCAAATGATTCAAATTGTTGATTTGAGAGATATAGAAATACGATTCAAAGAAAGAGTATCGATTGGTATTTTTTATTTTCTTTATTTAAAATTAGGTTTTTAGGTTACATATTGCAACATTACAATGGTTGTGTATTAACTACTGCTGTTAACAATTAATTTTAACAAAAATTCACACAGAAGACAATAGTATTTGGAATTGTAATTTGAAAGCTATACCCATTTGAATACTCCAAAATATATATAGAAATTTTAATAAATGCATGAAAAATCAAGCTTTTGAACTAAAATCATTTCGAACCTATATTCGATATACCTACACATGTACATAATTTTTTTTTATAACATAATATATAAATTATATGAAAAATTATATAAATTTTTTGCCTTCTAAGATTTGTTTAACATTATCATCATATGATTGTATAAATATAATCAGATATTAAATAAATTACAATCTTACTTATATTATTAATTATATTATCGTTTAAGAATAAAACTCTTCAATTTTTATTATATTTATAACTTTATATATTATTGTATATTACTTTATATATTAACGATTGTTAAATAATCGTAACCAATTTAGCTAATGGAGCACATAGTATTAATAAATTTGCTACGATGATCAGAGAAGATTATTTAAGTAATTAGAGATATAAATGGAAACTTTAATTAACTGTAATAAAACAACAAAAAAACTGATAAAAAAATATATTAGTGATTATTATCATTAATAAATCCCACTACTTTTTATCATATCAAGAGTTAAATTATTTAACTAATATGTAAGCATAACGAAATTAATCTAAACTATAGTATCAAATTGTTATTTGATTTTGCATGCATATCAAAATTATGTCCTTATTACCTGAATATATTGAAAACAACCAACATTTTTTTGAAGTTTTTATTGAAACATGAAGTATTTCAAACAGGACCCTGATCATTTCAGTAATACCTTAAATTGTTACTAATGATTTAAATTCGGTTGGAATATTTATCAAAAACTTGTCCGTTCTTAGCATTATACTTTTGTTTTCATTAATAATTCATTGCGTTAATTATAATTTCTTGTATTTCTATATATTCAACAATAGAACAAACTCAACATAAGTATAGTAACTCTAAATCTCGAGAATATACGAAATTTGTACAAAAATCGAATTACAAGACAGATCTAGTAATGCCTCGTCCTACCACTAAACACCAATTGCAACGCAGAAAAGGCGTCGAGAATACAACAATGATTCCTACTGCTGCAACATCTATACCCAATCCTTATAATGTAAAGCAACGTAAAAAAACACGATTTCTTCTACCCCCAAATCGTCGCAGTTGGTCTGAAAGCGATCTATTAAAGGAAATCGATAAGGAACTCAAGTTGGCAAAAGGCTTTCTTTTTGCAGATGGTGGGTGGTGAGTGGATGCACTCAATCTCAACTAAACAACACTACAAGCTGACAGTTTTTTTTTTATTCGTCATTTAATTGGATTGTTGTTTAGCGATTGATCATCCAAATTGTGTTAAAACCTTTTCGATTTATTTTACCCTGTTACTTGTGCTAATGAGTCTTTGTTTTATATAACTCAGTTCCCTCAAGTCCTCAGCTAAGCAATCACAAGTGCTTTTATTTAAACATATCTTCCAACGAAGCCATCAATCGAACTTTAATATTAAAGAAATTCCAAAAGATTTTTATTCACGCTATTGCCTCTTACCTGTGAACGGTTTTACTACACGAATTTATTTGTTTAACATTATTAATGTAAATATATATATATATTCTCCTTCTTGTAAACTCTACCTTAACTAACAAACAATAACATCATGTGTCTATGTGAATAATATTATAAAAATTATATTCTTATAAACTTATGTGACATACATTTGCATCGCTATTTCACTTCCTACTTCTACTTAAAAATTAGTTGTGAATTTTAATATTTTATGTATCTGTGTATAATTTGTATATAAATATTTTTATAATTAAGAAAAATGTTTAAAAATAAGAACTGGACATCAAAGTTTATAAATTAAATTAATGTACGCCAAAAAGTATGCTACGACGTTTTGTATAAAATTGATTGAAAATACATCATTTCAAGGTTAATTATACAGGGTAATACTGTGGTTGGTATGTAATTATATTAGAAACTTATAAACAAGAATTTAATAAGTTAAAATATGTTAAATATATATCTTTTGATTAAACGTTTTACCATATTTTCACATGTCACCGTTATACATATTTATTTATAAAGATTATTTTAATGTAATAGACGTTGGAACTGGGATTATTTGTTTAATATTAATTCTTAAAACAAACAGTTTTTTGAACAAAATTTCTAGAAATTAATGATCAATTGCGTTGGGATTACTTTAACTTAGGAATGAAACAGCGACTATTACAAAGAAATTAATATTCAGAGATAAAGTAATATTACTAAAAAGTTTTATTAATATCAGGAAAATTAAATGTTAATAATATACATTATTATTTCGTTTTGATGTAGCAACAAACCCTGCATTTATATTTTGTATTTCCAAACATATCTTACACAAATTTCTATATTAATATTATTCCAGATTTTTTACTATAAAATAAGCTGTACTTGAATGGTTTAATGAAGAAATGATATTATATATAATATCATTTATATTTATAATTACATTTTTATTTTGAGTATTGTTTCGAGTATTAATATCAATGGTTTTTAGAAATATATATTATGGATTTTATTATTCGTAAATAATTTTAAACCGTCAAGTAATAGAAACACCAACTATAACATAATAATATTTTATATATATCATATATACCACTTATTTCACTTTATATTTCAACAATCATGTGATTTTGAAATGGAAGATACATTCGAAGTTAAACTGCAATTTTTAAGAATAAGTATTTGTAGAGAAGTCTTCTATTGGCAATGGCCTATGTCAGTAAGGTAGATAGTTCATTAAAATTATATGAAATTTGGGTGAATAAAATCAGAGTCACTTTGTCTGTAGATTGTGAGCGTCGTTATTTTATAAAAGTAGGTATGGTTATTTTCATATGACGATCAAAGCTGTATAGAGACATAAGATTCTGGTTGGTTTATTTTGGTTGGTCTAAGATGCTATCTTATTATTTTCTCGCTGTTTTATATATATTCTACATTGATTTTACTATTAATCTTACAGTGAATTTATTCGGATATTAAACATATTTGGAATTTAGTTTCTGAGAATTCCTTTAAATTACTTTGCCTGAAACTTTAGAGAGAAGTTACTGAAGTATAGGATATAATCTAAAATATATAAAGTGTATGTTATAAAGTGTATATAATTTGTATATGTATTTGTTTCATTATAAGGCAAGTGTTTGGTTTATAAATAAAACCGAACAAAATTTTGAACTTTGGTTTGATCATTTTTATTTAACGGATTAATGGTGTATTCTACACATCAAAATGAACTAATGAAAGAGAAGAGAGTTTAATTTCCTGCTTTTGAAGGCATTTAGTTCAATATATCATATCCCGGATAATATCTCGAATTTCGTTCAAATGGTTTTAGATTTTTTTTCATTATTATATTCTCTGATTATATTTGAACTGGATGATCCAGCAGTAACTACCACACAATATAGGTAGTCGAACTTATGTTCTATAGACTTGTCACTTACGATCGATGGACTCCCATTCTTCTTTAGAATCGCATAACTCAACTCTTCTGTAAGATTCATCTTGTGTAATTAATTGACTGGGTAGTCGCATTTGAGCACAGTATAGGTTGTTAGTTGGGCCATTTATGTTACTCAATCATCTTATGTCATTTTTTATAGAGTCATAGGTATATGAAATTTTATTGAGAACTTCTTTGCTAGACTCTTTGATTTGCCAATAAATATTTATCCATATTAAATGTTAAATCTAGATCTAGTTAAATAAATTTTACACAACAGTGTGAAATTTGATTAATTTCTACAAGAATATAAAAATTTTAACGATTTTACAGCAATCATTTCATTTCATCTAATTAGTATAATATGAAACTATTATAGGACCTAAGTAACATATCCTTCACAATAACTAGATATTTTAAGGATTTTTACAAAAACTCGATTCGACAGAACTCTACATAATATATTCATTTGATGTTTATTCAAATGTATAAATTGATGTTCAAATTCCATTTTGACACTAAATTTTAAAACTAAATTTTTAATATAAACTGTTGTTTCAATAAAGCGGTTTTTATCGAACAGTAGTAAAATTGCAACAACAAATTTTTTTTTTATTATTTTTAATTAATTGAATTTTTGGCGAACGATACTATATTAAAAAATTATTATATTAGTAGGTTACCATTCATTATTAATTGAAGGTTAAAATCGAGTATATATGTATTTCTGGTTTTCTGCAGATTTTTGAATAATGGCTAAAGAACGTTTTATTTTCAGTTTAATCATTTAAAAATAATAAACTTGTTACGATCCCTGGTGTGATCAATGTTAAAGTCAAAGTGTTGAAAGATAGCGCGGTAATAGAAAGTTCAGAGGAACGAGAATCTACGGAATACCAACACAGTTGTGTATACAGATAAGTTTATAATTATATTAATATTATTTAATCATTCATAAAAATTGAGTAGTGTACGAGTGTATATAAGAAGAACTAATTCTGTTCGGTTAATCTAGTGAATTCTCTTTATGTTTCCTCTGTATGCTGTGGTCTGTGGTCTAAAATTATAAGATTTTTGTTTTTATTACTGAGCAACAGAAATATTGTTTACAAAATCATTTTGGCGTCTTTCATTGGAGGTCCGTCCATCTCATTTCGTGCTCAATTTGTTGTTTAGTTACGAGTAAAAGTAAAAGACCAAGAAGAAGAAATGTTTGTTCTCATTTTGTTATTTCGACCAAAAATTTTACAATTTAGAAAAAATTAAAATTGAAAATTTATTTTTCAAAGTAGAGCGTCGGACGCAGAGGCGTACAGAGTGCCAAATTTTCAACTGCGGAAAATGGGACAGGGTTAGTCGAAATTGTGTGTTTATGTGCTGAGTTTTCATATTCCCAAAAAATATTTCTTTTAAAAATTTTTATTATTTTTTCCAACGTGTAAATTGTGTTTACAAATCATTTAAATTAAAATTCCATATAAATAAGTGATGTAATATAAAATTTTCAATCATTTTACATATCGAATACACACTGAGACAGAAATTCAAACAAATTAGTTTATATGAAAATCGTAAAAATCGTAAAAATCTTAAAAATCTTAAAAATCGTAAATAAGTGCAGGAAATACACAAAATAATAAGTGAAAAAGAAAAAATTGATGAAGTGTGTTGTCTAGTAAATTGGCAGACTAATTTGATAGAAAAAATATATATTTTACAGAAGCAGCGCCTGCAGCAATAATGATAACACCCAAATTCAAGGCAAAGGCACCAACGGGCACAGGTAATCCGATGATTCTCAAGGTTCCATTGAAAATGATCAAATTTGTTAAATAATTCTCATTTCATTTTCATCAAAATCTATAAAGATATTGTAGAGGGAATAGGGTCTTCTATTATCTATATA